TATTATTTTAATGAAATGACGATGGTATTAATAATTCGATTGCTACATTTTAATATTCTATCGAATTCTATTTGACTTTGATTTTCGAATAATCAGCGAACCTTTGGTGGGACGAGTATAAATATTTGTCAGTCGACGGCTCCGGAAGCTTCGTCCCGCGTAAAACGTTCATCAACCTCTGAAATAAATTATATTTATACGACAAATTCCGCTTCCATGACTACTCAGTCGTGCAAGCGGAATTCGAAAGTCACACTTACACGTCCGTTTCAAATTGCCGCTATTTCTTAGGTCTCTGGTTTTATTCCCAGTCTAGCCAATGCTAAAAATTTGTCTTATACCATCACAGTAATAGGAAGTTATTAGACAAATGAATGTCCCATTGTGTTCGACGTTATGCAGCGGCTGCGCGGTACGCACTTTTCCATATTTTGCATGTCTTTGTATTTGTTCTATTAATTGTATAGCACTCCATCCACAATCCGTTACGGCCGCATCGACCGTACGCATTATATGAGCAAAGAAATGCCGATGCCATACGGATTATTTTCATAGAGCTACTATACCTCATTGTGTTATGTTAAAGCTATCAAATCGTATTTGTATTAAAATCCAGATGGACATAACATTGGCAAATTCTTTCTATTCGTTGCGTACCGTGCGGTCGGTGCGTACCGGTGGACACTGTGGACGATCGCCATAACACGAATTACAGACTAGTCATTAGATAGATCATTCTGTCACTTCTGTCACCAACTTTTAACGGGTCCGGACTTTTTAAATTAGATGATTGTAGTTAAAAGAAAAGGCTGACTAGGCTTGACAAGTATATTTATGGTAAGAGAAAAAACTGTAACAGCGAAATAAAATTAATATAATAACAGTTCATTATGGGTTTTCCTTAGAAAATGCGATGTAAATTTATACACTAAAATATTTTATTCATTTTCAACGATTTAATGATAATCGTGTTCTTGTCGGAAGACTATTTATTAATTTTTTTAATTTGTCTCTATTAAAAAATTACAATTTTGTTTCAAGGAGTTAAATCTGCCAGCAGTTTGTCGGCAGTAGTTCTCTTCTTATAATATCTTCGTTTATAAGTTAAATTTACTAAAATATATAACAGATATAATGCAATGTGTTGGGCATATGTCAACCGTCAGTTAATTCTATAACATTAAAAGTATTTAACAGATTGTTTCTATCTATACATAAATTATCTATCCCATAATCTATCCTGCTCACAAAGCGGTTTCAACAGGTGACCATCTCTACTAAGTCCCGTGTTCGATTCCCAGTCGGATCAATGCAGGAAATGAACCCATCTATTCTGTATTGACTCCGGGCTCGGTGCTACACTCGCTGTTTTAGATTTCCATAGTACAAGTTCTTTCGCTTTTTATTTGGGATTCGACCATCGTATGTGATGTTATTTAAAATTTATTTATTCATTTATTATTATTTATTCATTTATTTATAAATTTATTTATTATTTATTCATATCCTTAAGCGATTCTCGACATCCTCCGTACTTCGGCAGGTACGTTAAGCTGTCGGTCCCTGCTACATCTAAATTCGTTAACACCCACCAATGTGCGCTGGGCCCCCTTGGTGCGTCCCATCGTTTCGATTTTCTACCCAGGTGTGGGAACATAAATATGCTGATGATGAGTGAGTAGAGTAATAGATCACATCGTTTGTTTAGTGCTTGATCACTATCATGCATCACTGTCATGGTATGATAAAACAGAAGAAAAAATCTCAATATGTTGAAAAGAGTGTGGGGGAAAAAAGAAATTTTGTGAGTTTTTATACGTGTATACGGGTTGTAATATTTAACCACCTTCCAGTGTCCCCTGTTTAAAAATTCTATTATCATTTTAATAAACGAACATTGTTCCTTGTGGACAAAAGAATAATTTTAAAATGCATTTGAGATTTGAGTTGCTACGAGTATAAAATCAAGTTCCCGGCAATTCGCTTGATGGTGATGGTACTAATATTAACGGGTCCCCTCTTTTATTTTTTCTTTCGAATTTAAACAAATGTGACTGTGACTTTGAATCATTCATCATCATCATTCATCACCAGCCCTTTTACGTCCCCACTGCAGGGGCTCAGGCCTTCCTTATGGATGGTTAAGGAGGATGGGCCATGACCCTCCACGCTGGCCCATTGCGGATTGGAGGGTATTAACGACTGCAAATGCAGCTGGAACCAACGGCTTAACGTGCCTTCCGATGCACGGAGTAGCTCAAGATAATAGTTTTTTGGTCACCCATCCCGTGACCGACCCTAGCGAAAGTTGCTTAACGACTACGATCGCGGGCCGCGGCGCTTATCCACTACGCCACCGAGGTACCGAGGGAGACTTTAAATGATCCCGATTAAATGGACCGAATTAATTTATTACTATCTATTTACTTTATTTTATTAATATATACAAGTTAAACGCTTAGTACATATTTTAATTAGTAAGTTATTTGAACTACTGTGGTGTCTAATTAGTATTGTAGTTCTATTATCCATTTCTTTGAAAATTCTTCAATTTTTTCTATTTATAGCGCGACTACGATTAATTAGGGTAAAAACTGAAAAACAGTGCTTTGCACCTTCAGTAAAAACTCACTGAGTTTTAGCCCATTTGCATCGCTGCGGTACTGTATGTGTACTGATTATCTTGTTTTAGTAACATCTTGTTCTCTATTATTTATTATTTTTCTTTCTCAATTATATATGGAAATCAGTTTTGTAAAATATTGTGTGTCCATAATGCACATAAAGAATTTATCTATCTATCAATTTCTACCTAGGCAAAGTGAACTGAGGGATACAAATTTTGATATATAATCAAAATAAACGCACAGTATAATAGTTTTATAAACCACAGTAATTAACAATCAATTGAAATCAAAATAATTTATTCAGTCTAGACTGTTATAAAGCACTAGTGAAAGACCTTGTACCGAGAAGCGCCGGCAAGAAACTTGGCAAGGGCTGCTTTTTTCTCTCTGTTTTATTTCAAAAAGAGTCGACATAATACATGGACCAACCAACTGAATATATAATTATATGCAAAAAATGTATAACGGCGTTTTTTATTAATTTATTGGCTTATAAATAAATCAAAAAGCAATTTCACATCGATAATAATAATAAAAAGAATTGAAATGTAACTAATTCATATTACATTGTTTTGATTTGTTTCATGGAATTTTCCTGCGTTTCAATCTTCCAATACATTATATTAAACTTAAATAGACTATAAAGTAGAATATTAATATGTTTTTGTTGAAGTCGACAATGTATATTACTTTTATCTTTTCATCTTAAACTATGTTTTTACTTGATTTCGATAGGATTAGTTTTTCAACTGGTCATTGTATCCTCTTTTAAAAACTCTCTCTTTGAAGGTTCTTTTTTTTGCCATTCTGAGAACTGCTCTTTTATTTTTTAGTTCCATTTTGAAAGTCGTGTTTTTTTTTATTTTATTCTTATGTTATTCCTTTTAACAAATAAAGTTCTAGAATGTACTCATCAAAACCTTAAATTTGATAGCCATTTTTTAATATTTTTATATTAAAAGTTATAAAATTTCTTATGATACCCTATACATTAACAGCTGTTAAGTCTTTCAAAAGTTATGGTGGAATAAAGAAACATTCATACATTAACCCTAAACACAATACACTTTTTTGGGCAGTCGAGTAAAAAGTAGCCGCGCAGGACATCTTTTGGCTGAAATGAACGAACGAAAGAAACTCATCAGCTCAAACGGAAAATACCAAATTAATTCCAACGACATAAATTAATTATGAGTAACAAATAGCCGACTTCATGAGATTACGAGCTTAGATATAATCTAAGATTATGTATTAATTTACTATATATCATAACGCAACTTATAAATAAGTATTATCATCATCATATTGAAATAAAATAAAATAGTTTAATGTTAGCACACATAGCACACACAACAACACTAAACATTCAACAAAAAGGAAAGAAGGTAATCCGTTAATGAAATATTTTACTATGACACCTTCAGGTTAATTAACTTTGATCCGATTACCTTCTTTACACATTCTCCTTACTGAGTAATTGGCGTTAACTAACTCCATAAAAGACGTTGACAAGGGACGAAAATGTTATTATTAATTTCTTCTTAAAATTGATTGGAGTATTTGGTTGGAAGTTCTATAATTATCGGTCTTTATAATAATCAGGGATGTTAGACAGCTCCGTAGCCGTAAATGGAACTATCGGATATCCGCAATAAAAAAAATATCCGTTACTTAAATAAAAGTTTCGAATAATTACGAATATAGGCCGAATCTACATGACATATGACAATTTTCATTCTACCTGGTCAAGCCGACACACCAGCTATGCGCATTTATTTTAGATACTTGCGTTTTTCAAACACTTTTACGATTGGTAAATGGGTAATGGGTATTAAATTTGTTATTGTTTTAAAGAATATATATATATATATATACATTTTAATTTAAAATTTTCATTCGTTTTTTATTGCAGTATTACAGTTTATTGGTAAATAAACCAATGAACTCAAATTTCTACTTGATGTAAGGTACATCCTTTGTTTATTTATGGAGTATAATTAAGTATTTTATTTTAATTAAGTATTCACTAATTCATGATCTATTTATATAAAAAAAATTAAATACTTTTCAGTGCTTAAATTTAGTATCCGTAACCGAAACATTCCGAAACTACCGGATAATTCGAAAAAAACGTCAGATCCGTAACCTTAGCCAAAACTGATATAAGAATTTTCAAATATCCGTACCCGTGACAGTAACCGAAATAACATATCCCTAACATATCTGATAATAATCATTACCACACACATATTTATTAATGTACACCAAAACGTAGACATCTATATCAAATAATATAAATAAGAGAAATAATCAAAAGGTTTTATTTATAATCTAAAAAATTATAATGGTTAAACCTTTGCTTTTTTGTTCCAGCGTCACTAATATCTTCCTGGTCAATTTGTCTGCCGCCGATCTCCTAGTCACTGGCATCTGTATGCCTATTCAGCTCAGCAAAGCCATAACCCTAGTCTGGTTTTACGGGGAGACCGTCTGCAAGATCGTCAGCTACATTCAAGGTACGACAATTCATACGAACAGAAATTAATACTAAATGTAATAAATTTCTTTAGCAAGCTAATAACTGTAAATAATGGGCATTCAACCTACTTATAATTCCCGACGTTTCATCCACGTCTCAAAGTCTGTAGGTACAAGACGTGGTGTAATACCCATTATTTACAGTAGTAGTTCTTGGAATTCAAAGTGAAAGTTTTTTGTCATGCTAATATACACGATGCTAAATGAAAATAGTATGAAAATGATATATACTATTGTCTGCTAAAGACTGCTATGAATACTAGTAATTTAGGAAACGCCCAATTTGTATTTGCATTAGACTTGTGAAGAAATAGGATTAGTAGGTAATCAACGTCGCCATGCCGCAAAATATGATTAGAACACATTTTAGCAGCATAATATGAACGCAGATGACTTCGTGTGATTTATTTAGGAATAATTAAATTTAGCAAATACTATTAATTCAGACAATGTAAATGGATCTTAAAAAATCGTATGATAATGATCTTTAGAAATAGTATGATAACGATTTTTAAAGATTCAATTGCAACCAAGAGACTCTTTAAAGTGTGTATAATAATTACACGCTTACAATTTCGACATTCATTTTGTTGTTTTTTATTGGAAATAGAGATGTTGAGATTTTAAAAATTTAAACTTTTCATTGTTACCAAAAACCACTAAATACATATACGATTAAGTAGTTTGATGGGGCTGTTTTTTTATAAACCCATAAATATAATAATATTTTATGAGTCTATTCCAGATTCCTTGGTTTCAATCAAATTAGAGAAAATGCAGTAATAAATCATATTTTTTTTAGTTTTATAGGTTTCTTATGAAACCTTTTATCTCACCGATCCATTAGTAATGAAGACTAAGTCTAGAAAACCGAATTAGGTATTTCTTAGCTGTTGTTTCATTCACTAGTTTTCACTAGCATTGGTGACAGGTGACATCCCAAGGTAACTCTTGTCCCTTCCTAAAGGATTAAACACTTTCATTTGAAGACCCTTTGACGTAAAGTTTACAGCCATTTGAGTTCAAAGTGGCAAGAATAAGATATTTTATTCAAGTTAAGTCTATTATTAGAACCTTCTTAGAAAGGACACGGCTAAACTCCTGACCTTAAGTTATACTTTCAAGTGTTATTTAAAAATTTGAGTACATACATAAAAATGTAATCTTTTCTCAAATGTCTACAAAAAAGGTACACTCAACAGTCAGGTTATAATAAAAAACTGTCAAATTTCTCCATCCCATTTCAATACTTAATGCATTGAAATTGAAGGTAGAGGTCGGAATTCGTTGTAGAAATTTGACCTGACGTGGCTGTTACAAGTTCGTAATATTCAGGTATACATTTATTAGTCTTTTTGTTTTTATAGAGCCTTCGAAATAATTTCCACGAAAAAAAACCGATGCTCAGAGTTGAGTTCTCTAATCCTATAGCTTTAGCCCGTCATCTCAGCCAACATTTGAGAGATCTTTATTCTTGTAAAATAGTTAAATACTCATCATCTTAAAAAAAAAATATTTTCATTTTCATTGGTCATGCATTTGTTGCATGCTTTACTGTTGTTGTATTTAATATTTATTTTCTAATTAAGCCTTGTAGCTTTTTTTAAGATTATGATCGTAATCTTAATTTGGATTGATTTTAATTGTTTCTTTGAGTATTGTTTAATAATTGATAACTAGTAGAATTATAATAATTATAATGATAAATATTATAATAATTATAATTATAATAAATTTGTAATAAACTAATTATAATGGAATTGTACTAAAATCGTGTAAAAAGGAAGGAGCACTGGGGCTTGAGATTCAGATTTATTCTATAAATCTAATTCCAGCACAGATGCTACACAAATGTAAATTTGAGTACATAAAAATATAAGGTTTTTCTGAAATGTCTTTCTGAAATAGATATTAAATAGGTAAATATATATTAATATAAATGATCATGTATTAAAGTTCTTTGAAATGAATAAATTAAATTGAATTGAATTAACTTGATACAAATGGATTTTAAAAAATTAACAGAAAAGAGTCATAAAAGCGCGCAAACAAATATAAAATTTCAAAAACTATAGTTCTTATCAGTTATCCTGTGATTTATACATATAAAATTATTTTGTATGTATTGTGTTCTTTAAAAATATTGACGTACCATTTATTCTACCAGTGCTATTAATAAACAGAGGCTTAGCGTCAGAACAAATTTATAAATATAGGCAAAAGGCGTATGATAAAGGCAGTGCCTTGTGGTGCAAAAGAATTCTGATATAAACACTGTAACTGTAAAGCTCGCGCCAGACATGTGCTCAAATACTCAAAATACATACCTTTATAGACGCCGTGCCAGGCATTAGTGAATGTATGCAAAGTTTGTGTACACATACTGTAGTCTACAATCATGCGTCAGTTTTTGCGCGGGCATCAAAGTAAACAGACTTCAAAGTCTATATGGCTGCTAGACTTGTTGCAATGTTTAGCATAGCATGTTGTATAATTTATGTTAATATTGCAGTAAGATGTTCTTATTGAATTTCTTGAAACAGAACCATAGGAATTCTAAAAATTCTTGTGAACGAAGCATGACTTAACAAAAATAATTTCACCATGCACTTTCGTCATCCTTTCTGTCAGCCTTCTTTGCGACAACTGTGAACGCAAATCATTTGAAATCAAGTTTAGACGATAAAAAAAATCACTTAAAGGTTTGCTCAAACTTCGATAACATGTCTGGCGCTCACATTACGATACTTTTTATGGTAACTTTTCAGCTTCGTGATGAGAGATTATTATTTATGACTCACTATTCGGCATTCAGCCAAATTGATAGTGGTTCCCTATCATTTACCTTTTATTGCTTGCTATCTGTGTAACATCATTTATCAATATCTATAGAGTTTCAAAAAATCTTTATACGAATATAATATATTTTATCAAAATTATCTAGAGATTTTTCATATCTATTAGTAAAGTCAATCTAAGTGCTTGAATGTTTCACCTTCCTCCCTCAAAAAGTCTTCCATTATATATTATACCTATTAGCGATAAGCGGAATTACAATAGTATTTCTAGTTCTAGGAAAAAGCTTTTTTATTTTGTTTTTGATACCGGAGCCTACAGAGAAGTAAAATACTCGTGAATAAGAAATAGGCTTATTGTTGTTTTATAAAAAAAAATATTATCCGAATAAGATCGAATAAAAAAAAGCAAAATGGATCAAATATATTAATTAGAAGAAATTTTTTCATCTTTATCGAAATTTAAATATTTGTAAAAATATTTCTTTCGACTGTTTGTGTGGATTGCCTGAACATTGGTAAAAAAGCACTCTGTAGTAGTGAAAAAGTAACAAGTGCTCTAAAGGTTAGTCAGTCCTGTTATGTCCTGGGTAGCTCAGTGGTTAGAGCAGTCGCCCGTTTTTCGGAAGATCTTGGGTTCGAGCTTCATCTTAGAGTGCCAGGAACAAAGTAGATTTTTTAAGCATTGAGAATATTTTGCAGTAAAGTACTGTGAATGCAAACTGATCAAATATAATAAGAACGTATTATTATTTTTTAAATGGAATTAGAAGAAGTAGTCTCAATGTTTCGTTATAATATAAACATTTACTAAGAAGAAAAACAAAGCATTAGCATGGAACTGTCGCAAAATCTTTAGTATTTTATCTCCAATGAGAATGTATTGAAGAGAGTTTTTCTCGAAACCGTATACTTCGAATCAGTTCCATCAAAAATAATGTCAATCGGATTACCTATGAAATGAGTTCCGGTTTTTTTTAACGTAATAAATATAATAGGATTTTAGCGGTGTTCAAACGTGTCTTAATCTATGAAAGCTTCGAATAATTATGTTTGTGAAGTGTAAAATTTTAAAATTGCTTGGAGTGGAAATCTGAGATCCATTTTGATGTCTATATCGTAACAAATATATTTCGAAATTCGAAATCATGCCGATATCAAGTGGCATTTATTTTAATACAATTATTTCAATATTTTTTTCATCATATTTTTTTTTACTGTAATTCATATCATATTAGATTACTTTATTTTATCGCAATCTAATTGAAAATTAGAGCGTAACACGACACTATACTTATTGTTATTGATTTCATAAATTTTCTATATTATAATGGAAAAAATAAAAGATTTGATTATTCGGCATTGAAAATACTGGATCGATTTTCACCTATGGGAAGCCACATCATACGAGAGTGACATAGGCTATTATATACGCGGGCGAAGTCACGGGAAAACAGTAAGTTTTAATAAGGAAAGAAGTGTTTGTTATATCTTTAAAAAACGATAATAGAGTCAAAAAGACAGACAGAATTAGATACATATTGAGAATTGTATCTAACTCCAATAAATAGTTAGTTAATAATTGCAATTTGTTTTGCTGATTTTGTAAAGGGCAATGAAATATTAAAATCTTATTTATTGCTTTGATGTCACATATGAAAATTTTATAACATTAAGCTTGTCAACAAGGTTATTTCAGAAATGTTTGCTATTGAGATATAGAAAAAAACCTTAGAGTAAAGGTAAAATTGAAAATATTTGATATGAAAGATCGTTGAACAGTTGCGTGTAATTGTGTTAGAATATTGAATAATTATGTTTCTAGAAATATTTGATCTTGTTAAAACGTTTACTTTTGTTTAAATACATGTTTTAATGTACGTTTGGAAATTTTTCCGAATTGGTAAATAATTGTAATAAGATTGGTGAACACAAAATTATTACCTCCAACTCCTTCCTGTTTGTGAGGAACGTTAAGCTGTTGTTCCAGCCTCAATCTGCAGTCTTTAATAACCACCAATTCGCAGTGACTTCCCACCATACCTGTATTAGTTGAATATGACTATGAACTTCGTCTAAGTATTTTTTTTACTATGTACAATTCATTTGTTATAGGAGTGGCAGTAGCAGCCAGCGTCTTCACACTCACAACCATGTCTGTTGACCGGTGGCTGTCCATATCACCAGAGCCACGTCTGAGACCTCCTGGGCGGAAACAGGCTTTGATGCTGCTCTCACTACTGTGGATTGCAGCGCTACTCATATTTATACCGGTGTTGTGGGTGGCAACCGTGCAGCGGGTGGCAGTACCGATAATATCAAAAACTTATAAGACTATTTCGGTAAGTGTAGTGAGGTAACTGTGATATACATTTTCCCTAAAACTATTTCAAATTTAACGGAGTACCAGCAGCAGAAGACTGAAAGGGCATTTTGTATGTGGTATGTTTGCTTTTTGATTATGGTCAGTAAAGAAATTTGAGTGATGAATCTAATACATGAATGTGTTTACATTTCTTTTCATTTTAATATCGTTCCCAACTTAATCCATATTGAACACACATAGGATAGGAATGGGATTACTTTACCTTCTAAATCACTAATTGGGTTATCAAAACCCTAATCTCTCCAGCGTCCTATCTACTCAGGCAGAATTTCTGTAACAAATAGTCTACGAAATAAAATACTAACGTATTCGGGAAAATAACGTAGTTATGTATTAAGCTAGAAAATTTTAAATTAAAACATTATTAATTCAAGAAATTGTGGAGAAATACAATAGTCATGAACGCTTTAATTCAATAATGGCGGTGTAACTGGTAATAACATATTCTTCCTTTACAGACTCGTGATGTACACTTCTGCACAGAAGACTGGCCCGGTTACGAGTCGAGGAAGCAATTTGGGACCTTCAGCTTTACTATAGTTTACGCGATACCCGGTATGCAATGAATTTGTCAGTTTATAGTTCCTGTATCTATTATTTTATTCTCGAACTGAAAAGTAGAAAGAAGTAACCTCCTATCACATAATATATCCATCTTTTCTTATACATAATTCCCGTTCACATTCATGCTCACAATACGTTTTGCAGAACTAAGATATATTACTTTCGTGCACAGCACGGCCACTACTCAGGTCATTCCCGAGACGTTCGTTCTGCCTGAATGGCGCCACCGCTACCTAGCATATGGCTGGAACGTCCGGAACCTACCCTCACAAAGTCCTCAGGGGGAAGTCGTGGCCTATAGCGGGTCTTACCACCCCTATGCACACAAACTTCTTCTCTTGACCCTCGCGGATCTTATCAACACCTAACCTTGGAAGGCGGCTCTCCCCCCAATGCTCGTCCGCCGTTACCGACGCCAGCCGACCCCCTTGGTGTCGGACTCTTGACTTTTGGTTATAGGGATCAATGGATCAGCAAATACTAAATCCATTAATCCCTATACTCGGGGTAGCACCGTTTCAAAACCATAGCAAATCCCCTCCCCCAAAAAAGAGGTATTATCTATGGAGCCAAGCGCTCTAAGAGATGTTTCGCCCTAGACCTTTCGAAATTTTGAACGTATTTTTATAATGTTAAGACAATCCGCCCAAACAGCCGAAAGAAATATTTAACTTTCGATAAAGATTTATTTTGTTTGTAATTATGTTAATCAATTCTGCATTCACATTCAGGTCCTGGGTAGTTCAGTGCTTAGAGCAGTCATACGGATTGCAAAAGGTCGTGGGTTCGAGTCCTTTTATATTTTTCATTAAGAAATACGATAATGTTGAAAAAGGGCGACAAAACATTCTGTAGATGTAATCCCAATTGATCCTTTGGTGACAGTAGCTGGATAGGTAATTTGTTTTGGGAATGGCGTCGTTATATTGATTGAAGGTGATCACTTAGCTTTAACAGTTGTTGGAAATACCGCAACGACTATTTTTCCAATAACTAACTTAGAATCTGTTATAATTTTTACAATTCATAAATAAACGAAGTTTAAATATTTCCTAGATAAAATGATTGTCTTTCTTGTATTAGTCTAAGAGATAGTGATAAACACGTGCAAAAGCTTTTGAAAGCTTGATATTTCAATATGTTTAGTAAGGGTTGCATCACTCAATGCAGTGTGAGTTGGTCAGGAGCCGGAACATCTACTGGCGGCGGGGTAATGTAACGTACGAAAAATCGTAACACATAATAAAGGTGCCTTAAAATTTTTCTTAATATAAAAAAGGAGACTAAACTTCTCAGACCGCACAATCTTGAAATGCGACGACTCAGCAGATCTCAGAAATCGGTGTGAAAATTAGCTCGAAATTAATTATGTGAATGCCAGTTTCTTTGTATTTTAGCATAAAAAATATAAAGAAAGCAACACTAGAAGAAGAATATTTGAAAAAAATATTGTTAATATTTTTGGCTATTAGTGAGCGTATTTTCATCAATATTCAGGTTATTCATCAGTAAGTTGTTGAAAAAATCGTAAGTCCTGTTGAGTCTGGGGTAGCTCGATGGTTTGAGCGAAAGGTTGTTCGTTGAAGTCCTGTCTCGGGGTACATGGGGTTAGTAAATTTATTATTATTTTCTCTTTTAAGTCCAGTTTGACGCGAATAAAGTTCTTTTTGCTACTTGTTCACTTTTCCAATTAATCGTAGACGTTTACGATCGAGTGCTTCACATCGAAAAAACTGGAATAGATTGGAAAACTTCTCTTTGAGTAAGTTTCAAGGGAATTTGTAAAAATACACCAAGCTGGATATTGTGTAACAACAAAGTATCTGCAATTACCGGTATCACAAGTAAATGAACGCTAATGACCTAACAAATACAAAAGTTTAACGGGAAATATTTAAGTTTAGCTCCATTTTGTGAAGTCACTTATTAAGTCCATTGTTAAAATTTAAGAGAAAGATAAATGTAATATTTTGACAACGAACAAAAATACGCGGAGAAATTTCAAATATCATGGTTGTCTTATAGCAATAGTTTAATGAAATTTTGTTTTAGATAAAATGATTCGCATTTTCAAAGAAAATTGGGTCGTTGCTTTTTGATGGCATTTATTTTTGTTTCGACAATCATATAATAGAATAATAAATGAAATATTCCATATCCTTTTATTATTTAGTTAATATTACCAAGCAAAATATTTTGGAATGACACTTTTATCTAAAATTGATATCTTTCAAAAACTCGTACACTCCTAGACTTTCTTTAAGTGTTGCACTTCTACCCTAATTTACTACTTTGGTGGCTGCTCTTTGCTCTCGGCGATTCGTACTTATTTTGATTTTGTATGTCATTACGTAAGTTCCAATTTATTTATTTGGAGTTGAAATAACGTGTATTCCTCTTCAATACTTCAGCGACATCTCATTAAAACTTTATTACCCATTTTATCCTTTCATACTGTCTATACGTCCTTGCTTCTGTGTCCAATCCTTATATTTTCGTCGATATTTGTCCTATTTGCCACATGGAAATCCTTTCCTTTCATTACAATATAGTTTTTAAAAAATAGGTCAAATCCGACGATTTATACTGGACGTAACTTTATGGTGGAATTAGAAAAGAAGCAGCCCTATATATTAAAATTGAAAATAATCGATTATGAGATAATCAACCTCCATCTGACAGAAGATGTGCTACGTCTCATCGACAGCGAAACGTTATAACAAATAAATATTAGAAATTGAACCTTGCACACCAGATGGATTATCCCGCTTACTAATCCATATCATCTAAATTTGGTTTCCAAAATACGAAGACCTTAAGATAATAAATGATATTATAACAAAATACTAAACCTTAAATCTGATTATTGAAACAAACGAATGTAAGCTTGCAAAGTAACTAGAAAGAATTGAGCGAAATATAAAATTAAACATCTCTTAAATTTTATGGTCTGTCAAATTACTACCAGAGACATAATTTGGATTTCAGAAAAAAAACTACAGCACCTGATTGTGACGGGTTAAATGAGATTTTATCAACTGACGTCAGCTCAGACGCTGGCTTATCACGATTTCAATGCCTTGTGAATTTGTGAAAAGCTGTTATTGTAAATAAAGTCATTTTTAATGAAAAATGCTTTGTAATCCACTTTGTCCCTGGTACTATGAGATGGGATATGAACCCACGACGTTTCGCAATCCTGGCGACTGTTATAAATGCTGATCCTTACATATGAAATTGAAATTGTATGGGAGGAACAAAAAGTCGAATATTTTTTAATATAATATATTTATTTAATCAAAGTATAAAACATTGTTATCTATTCCTTGTTATCAAGAAACCATGTTTATCTTCTTCCTCTTACGCCTTACCCGGATTTCGTCTCATACGAAATAACCGCATTGGTTCTGTTGGTGGTGGCACGGTTATTTATTTAAGATACAATATTCCTGTCAATATGATTAGCACTTCTCTTCAGCCACCGCTACCCGGTGCGGGCAAGCATCTTCTGGTGGAAGTTACTGTATCACATACCAAAATTCTTCTCAGAGTTATTTATAGCCCTTCATTGCGTGTTAACTATTTTGATTCCTTTGAGAAATTTCTGGATCAATTTGTTCATTCTTTTACTCTTCATTATCATGGGAGATTTCAATACCTGCCTCCTAAAAGAATGACCACCGCACTTCTTCTCTTCATAGAGTTATCAACTCAAGCAACATACACATACTTCCACTTAGTGCTACTCATCATTTTCCTAACTCTACGTCTTCTCTTCTTGACTTGTCTATTGTTTCATCTCCACAGCATGTTGCAAAGCATGGACAATGTTCAGCCGATGCATTTTCTTATCATGACCTTATTTATGTATGTATCATATAAAATTTGTCCTCCTAAAGTTAACCCAAAGTTATTATTCAGCGCAACTTTAGTGGTATAAATCGTGAACAATTTCTTGACGAAGCTCGGAGTATTGATTGGTCTCCAGCATTTGTCACTCTAACCGCGGATGAACAAGTTGAAGCTTTCAACTCACGGATCATTCAGCTGTATGACAAGCTTGCACCTTACCGACCTATCAAATTAAAACACTTGCTAGCACTGTGGCTTACTGAAGACATTAAATCATTAATGCATTAAAAGGTGGTTGCTAAAACTGGATTTAAATTACGTCCAAGTGCTTATAGTAAAGAGGCCTACAGTAAATCTTGAAATCGCTGCAATTTGGTGCATTACGTCGCCATATCCATAAATCGGTTGAGAACGAAGATCCAGCAAAAGTTTGAAAATTTCTCAGGTCACTTAGGATTGGTAAATCAAAAGAGTGTTCCACCCCTAGCAGTTTTTATATTGACTTAATGTATATTTTTCCTCTTTGTCTGTTATTAAGAACACCGACAAAATTAACACTTTAAACCTCCTTTCTCTCCTACCAATCCTAGATCACTCTCAATTTTTTATTGGATTGTGATGTTGAGAAATGTGTGCTGTCGATTACCTCTAATGCAGTTGGTAGTGACGGCATTAGTCGCAATATGTTGGTTCCAATCCTTGACATCATCCTACCTGTCCTCACTTTTCTCCAACAGTTTCATTTGTAATTCCACATTCCCTTCATCTTGGAAGGATGCTCAAATTATTCCTTTACCCAAAATTAGTAATCCCAAATTTCTTAACGAACTCCGTCCTATATCTATTTTTCCTTTCCTATCTACAGTTTTGGAGAGTCTTGTTCATCAACAATTTAGTAAATATATTGCTCAGAACAACCTAATGAATCCTCTCCAGTCCGGTTTTCGATCTGGTCATAGCACAACAACTACTCTTGTTAAAATTACTGACGATATTCATCTTGCGATGAAAAATGGCTATCTGACAGTACTAACATTATTGGACTTCAGCAACGCATTTAATACGGTCGATTTCGATGTACTTCTTGCCTTGCTGCATTTACTTAACATATCTCCAACGGTAATTGACTGGTCTCACAGTTATCTGTATGGGCGCAGGCAGCGGGTCCGCCTTAATGAGAATTTCTCTTCATGGTGTGAAACAAAAGCTGGCGTACCCCAAGGTGGCGTATTATCTCGCCCTTTTTGTTTGCAATATTTATCAATTCTATTTCTCATAATCTTTCGTGTTCCTATCACCTTTATGCAGAAGATCTCCAAATTTACTGCAAAGCACCGCTGTCTAGATTAAATGAGGCAATAGTAAATACTAACTTAAACCTCCAACTCATTGCAGAATGGAGTAAAGCTTTTGGTCTAAGCGTCATTCCTGCAAAAACCCAAACCATGATAGTAGGTAGCTCTAGATTACTTTCCAGAATTGATACGCAGGTACTTCTGAAAGTTATTTTTGAGGGGGTTGACATTCCTTTTAGTCAAACGGTAAAAAAATTTGGGGGTGGTAATGGATTGGCATCTGGGTTTGGGTCCATTACTTCAATCTATCAGTCGCAAGTTATATGCTTCTGCCACTTTATTGAGGAGGCTGCGTAACTTCTAGTATAACTTCTAGTATATTATCTCTTCTCCACATTATTTTGTTCAATCCCACTTACTCTCATTATATTAAAAAACGTTTCAGTTTTCTGCACTGCACAAATTCTTACACATTGCGATAATCCGAGAGTTTGAGTCTTGAGATTCCATTTCACTGTACTTCTTTTTACGTTTCTTCTTTCACTGTACAAACTTTTCGTCTCTGGAATTCCCTTCCAGTTTCTATAAGGCGAGCGAAATCTTAGCAAATTTTTAAAAACAGCGTAAAGATATTCTACCATTCACAATGCAATATCCTGCTACTACCGACTCAAACTATTCTTGGTATATATATGTATATTGCGTATCACGTATATATTGTGTATATTTGTATAATGCATGGATTCTCTACGTATTTTGTTGTCTATTTTGTAATTAAGATTATTTGATCATATTTTCTTTTTAATGTTATTGATAACACTTATACCCCCGTCTTCTTAAATTGTTATCTCTCTCTCCATCCCATGGTTGCCCGAAATAAATCACTTTAAGCGATAAGGCCGCCAATTGTTACATTATTTTGTTAAACTGTTTTAAATTTGTAAATATAACTTGTGTAATATTAACAATAAATAATTTTCTATTCTATAAATAATCTCATAGGTAGTTCATTGATCCCCTTACTAAAAAAGCCATTCGGACGGGAATCAATAAAATCTTTGAAGGCGATTTTCACTGCCCCATCGGAGTTGAATTTTTTCCCTTGTAAGAAGTTATCCAAGAGCAAGGTACGGGGAGTATGGTGAATGTCTTAGATATTCCAATTGAAGCTCTCCTAATTTGGTAGCCGTCTGTTGTGCAGTATGTGGTCTAGCGTTGTCGTGAAGTAGCAGTGGCGTAGAGCGATTGACCAGCCTCGGTTGTTTAACAGCTAGTTTTTCCAGCATGGTTTGCAATTACTGACAATAGACGTCTTCCGTAATCGTCTGTTCAGATTTGAGAAAACCGTAATAAACGACCCCGGCACTAGTCCACCAAACTCTTACAAGTAACTTTTTTGGGGTCAATTTACGCTTAGGATTTGGCTGTCATGCCAGGATCTAACCATTGCCATGAGCGCTTCCGATTATCGTAGAGAATCCACTTTTCATCACAGGTAATTCGATTTAAAAACCCTTCATTATTGTGCCGGTTAAGTAATGTTAAGTAACGCAGCAGTCGAAGCGCGTTTGCCGGTTTACTTCACTCAATTCGTGAGATACCCACCTTTCAAGTTTTTTAATCTTTCCAGTTTGCTTCAAGTGGATTAAAACAGTTTTATCACTAACATCGCAGCCTGTAGCTAACTTCGGACGTGGTTTGCGATGGATCCGTTTTCACAATAGCTATCAATTCTTAATTATTAACTTGGGTCTCAGGCCGTCTACGGGGCTTGATCTGCAGGTCGAAATTTCCAGAACGAAAATGTTGGAACCAAAAACGCACTGTGTCTTCTTTTGCGACATTACCGCCATACACATAATTATTCCTTCGAGCCGTTTCCGCAGCACTGGTACCACGGTGGAACTCGTACTCGTAAATAACACGATATTTCAAGTTTTCCATTTTTTATACTGGTTGTTCAAAAAATAGGACAAACGGAAGAAAAAAAAAACAAATGAATGCTGCCTAACGAAACACAAATAAATTTGAATTTGGAATTCCCAACCAAGAAGGAAAAATTTGCTATTAAAGTGACAAAACGCCAATTTCATATGTAAGGACCTTATATTTCGAAAATATCGTGTCCTATGGCTAGAGAGTTAGTCAACTGCACCGAAACTAATACGTGTTGGATAGATGTGAATCAAGCTTTATACGAGAATTTGTTATTAGTCACTGAAAATATTCAATTTTTATTTTTATTTTTTATCTATGGTCACATAATTTAAGCAATTTATCAAAATTGTTTTCAATAGTTTTGGTTGTTTGGCTCAGGAAAATAAACTTTCTCCAATCATCTAAAAGTAATTTTAGATAATCTGTCTACACTGTTACGTTATCAATATTCATTAATTCAGAAATAGGTATTATATTTTCGTGTTGTAATACTTTGTAAATTCATTTTTAACAATTAAAAACTACTTCAATAATCCAACCCACTCAGGTTGGATTATTGAAGTAGTTTTTAATTCGATAGTGATCAGTTCCCAAATTATGTAACTTATAGTACGAAAATAAAACAAATTGTTACTGTGGATTTGTTTATCACGATAGTTAATATATTTTTCGTTTGTTGTAAGGTTCCATCACCATCCTGTCATACGCTTGTATGGGCAGGACTCTATGTTCTGTGAGGCCTCCGTTCGACATCGACGAGGGAAACATTAGTATGCAGCAGGTAATGATCATTTGCTTGGGCAAATGACTATGTTAAAGCTGAAGCTTCGTTTTTAAAGGAAAGTAAAATGAATTTAAAACAATTAATGTTGGTGACATGAAATGACGCAATAGTAATTAGAATAATTAAAAATAAAAAAAAGGCAGAAATGTAAATTTATTTTTTGAACAACTAACTGAAGCTTAAAAACCATTCGAATCACCCGTCAAATATTGACTTTCGCAAGGTATATATTAAAAAAATGATCGTCTTAAAACTTCAATAATAATAGTAAAATGTTTAGCTAAACAACATAGTAATTAAATTGCTAGTTTTATGTATTACAGGTTTAGTAATTACTAGCGCTTTTATTTAAATAGTGTTGCAGCCATATAGTTAGAACTCATTGATTGATATGGTCGAATGGATCTGCGAGCAAAACCCAGATGTGAATTTCATTCTGTTCTATCTTATTTTAAATGTTTTAGTAGATCACAAAGGAACTTATATGTATTTTCTGAGTCAAATATCGATAGTTGTACAATACTAAATATACTGTATCTTCTGTGGAATTTTGTAATTCATAAAACTTCAGAGAAAAGACGTTCTCTCCTAAAACCTAATTAAGAAGATATTATGTTCACTTATATTATTTGCTTAGCTAAAAAGATGTCGATTTGTACGAACAAAAAGAGATCCTAATTGCCTTAAACAGAAAATGTATCTAAGATATATTAGTCTTCACGAATTTGATCAGGATATATAAAGAAATTATCACATTTTTACAAGACTTTATAGAAACTGTCAATACTGTATAAGCAAACAAATTTAGACGGAAAATGAGTTTGAATCGAACAGCTAATAAAAATGTATTGCGTTGTATGCAGGAATTTATGTGTAAATGGTTTGATATTGACTCAATACGTTGTGTTATGTTCATGAGAGTAAACTTAGTTAAATCTTGAAAATCATTACTGGCTATAAATGTTTATATTTTAAGTTATTGAATATAAATACGACATTTTTAGCACTCAGTTGGTATGTGTGTCTATAAAATCGACTTTTGACATTATGGTCTAGTCATGAGCGTAAATGAAAGAATCTTGAAATCGTTCCAGCGATTCGAAGTTTATTCAATGCAAACAAACGTTTAAATCTTTTCTCTTAATAATATTAGTATAGATAGATTATCACGGGGCCCGACGTTGCGTAATATGTAGTGATATCAATTAAAATATTCATCTGATTAGAGCTACAAATGTTTTGTGAACTTTATATTCTCAGTAGTGTTACTGTATAAATATTATTGGACCAAATAAAGATCCCTGTGGAATATTCAATTTACAATATTACAGTATAGAATAAAGTTAGCATGTAGAATAAAGACATTTTGATATCGGTGTTTAATTGAAATTCTTCACAGGGCTTAAGACTGATGAAGGAAAGGAAACGGGTAGCCTGGATCTTACTGCTTCTAGCTGTTCTATTTGCGCTATGCTGGTTGCCATACAACATTATGCAGCTGCTTTTGGATTTCAATGCCGTCAATCCTAAGGACCTGAGCATGTTCCTGCCATATGCATTGTTCATCGGTGAGTTGAAAGGCACTGTATTAATTTTTATAATAATATATCTATTTAAATAAAAATCATTTACTGTACGTTTGTCTCGTTGAAACTCGAGAACAGCTAGGCCTAATTTTGATTTCGGAATGTTTGTCGTAGTCCAGGGAAAGCATAAACGGTAAGAGGTGGTAAGGAGTACACCTAATCATCTAGTTTCTAATGAAAAAGTAACAAACATATATGGAATTACTGTTAGAAAGTCAGCACATTACTACAAAAGTCCAATTAATCCAAGCGATTCGAAACAGTAATCTGTTAAAAGTTAATTTTTAAATGAAAGTCTTTAAAATTTAGTATTTTTTAGTAAAGAAAATTAAAACGTTACACACTTTATACAAAAGTTAAGGTTATGAATAATTAACAAACAATTATACCAAAACAGTCCCTCCAGTAATTTATAACGACGAAATTAAGTTTAAGACGGATTTAGGTCAATATATATTTCAAAACTTTTGTTAAACTCACTGGCTGCTTCATTTTTATAAAGTATAATAAAACGTTGTTACGTCTGTATGTTAAATTATATATATATTTTTCAGAAACTTCTCTAATTGAATAATGCTTTCTGTAAAATGAATACCTGATAGATTGAGCAAAGGAAATAATATAAAGTAACAATAGTATTTGTAACTTTGTGGTTAGAAACGTTAATTCATTTACCAATACAATTTAACAACATATAATACTAATATGGAGCTCGATATCGCAGTTGTAAGCAAGCTCGATCTGCGATATAATTGTTAAGCAACTTTAGCAAGGCCTAGGTAACCAAAAATCTTGAACTCGTCTGTGTTACATGATAAGTCATTGCTCTCGGCAGCCTCTGCTGATTTGCAATCGTTACTTAACACCCATCAATCCTCACAGCGGCCGGCATGGTGGTCTTCCATTTAATGCGATTTCATCCACAGGCAAAGCCTGAGCCCCAAAAGTGAAGACATTAATAGGATGGTCATGATACTAACAGCTTTGCACCAACCATAATACCATTAAATCCTATGGATGAGATATCTTATTTTCTTATTATGAGATGTAAAGTTGCAATCGTTTTTGGAACAAATAATAATAATAATAATAAAGCATTTATTTATTCAATGATGACTTGAATGATCAGAAACCTACATAAACCTGTCGAAAGTTTGCAGATTTCCGTTGGACATTTCCCAATGGCTTTCTACGATATTTGCATCTGGCGCTTACGTTAAAGATATCGTCCATTATCTTTTAATGAACAACGCGGCCGCAATATCACATGATAAATAGTTGTAGCATGAATTTCGTGAATATTCTCAAATTTCAAAATGATGCAGATTGGGATAGATTCTAAAATTATACAGGCCCCGGGAGAAGTTCTGGAATTTCGGAGAGACAGTAAATAAAAATCAAAAAATCCCATATAAAATATGAAAGGACACGTTTGCGAAAGTCAAAAGGATCGTTGGATCTTGCACCAAATGAGAGATCGCCGATAAGGCTTCGAAGGGACGAAAGGTTTAAAGGGAAAGGTGACAAACCCATTTTCTTGATCGAGACTAATAATGCCGTCTATTTGACGGGATTAAACGCTTGTAATCAGTTAAGACATCATAATTCTTGTTTATTAGATTACGTTTTGTTTGTTTTCTTTAGTATTTCTAATTTCGTTTAGGTATTTAACTATTAGGTATCTGAAATATTTAAATTCGTGAATGATTTTCTCTGTCAATAAAATTTAATTATAGATGCTCACCCATTACCTCAGCAAGCACACACCAACCGCACGACACGTAACGCATTGCACGGATTTGTTAACTTCATACGTCATCTTCTATTGCATCTTTCATAGATGCTTCTATAAAAAAAGCGACTGTTAGTTTTGACAGTCGCATTTTGGAATTTTGTCTTTGGAATATTTAATATAATCCGTTACGTGTCGTGCGGCCGGTGCGTGCGTGCTTACACATGAACGTTCACTTTTATTGTTTTGTTTTCGCAGGTCATGCAAACTCCGCTATAAACCCAATAGTGTACTGCTTAATGACAAGAAACTTCCAGAGGTCTGCGAAAAAACTGCTGTGCGGCCGAGGTGTTTGTCAACAAACACACTTCACAGTATGTAGTCGCATTTATTATTAGTGTGAAAATTATTATTTAACGACCGGTTTCTGAATTCAAAAAAGTCAATAATTTGTTTTATTTTTTCACAAGGTAAAAAGTCCTAGGTTTTATCAAACTGCTATCAACTGGTCATTAAAAAAAATACTACATTCTTAAACGAAAACCCGTTTTAGTGACTTTTAAGTACAGTCTGAGACGTACTTAACTTTGCATACATACTCAATACGTAAGACAACTGTAGGCGCCTTTTAGGCTTTAGGCAAGCTATGCAGGGAGGGTGATCGAAACTTCCTTAAATACGTGGTGTAGACTGTAAGATGCGGTCATGAAAAAATAATTATTGAACTAGCGGGTTTCTACGAGGTACGTGCGTACGAGGTACGAAATAGATAGAAAATAAGGGGAGAAACACTGCACTTACTTGAAAATCATTATGGCCGAATGTCGGCTCTCGACCTTTGGCGTGGACTACTGTGTCAGTATCACTTTGCTGCTGGTGGATTACAACAAGTGTAATAGACCTACTGATCTGGTCTGTCTCTCCTCCAAACCCTTAGACGCAGCTACAGGCATAATAACACGCTTTGGTACCTTCAGTGAAGAGCACTAAGAAAACTGAAGTCGTGGCGGTAGAGTTTTACACACTCAAAATAATACAAAAAGACATGCTGTGTCGGAGGTGTGCGGGGGGTGCTCGGCAATGCATGTGAAACGGTCACAAAAAAGCATTTTTTATTTTGAAATTGATTCCTGTTTTAATAATCAGGACATTGATGTTTGAACTGATCAACCGCGAATCTTATTCTTTTCTTAATTTAGTTTTGTTACGTGCTAGAGTTGCGTAATGCATTTCCTATCGTTAAAAAAATAAAAAAAGCTGGACAACAAAACAGTACACAATACATAGAATATGGATTATGTACTCGACTGTACATAACAAACAATATTTTGCATAGAATAAAGCGATAATTTTGATAATTATCTATCTACATATGTTAAAATTAAGATGTTCTCCATAGGGGTGACGACTGGGTAAAAAAAAATGCAATTATATTATGTGCGTCAGTCAAATTATAGAAAAATATTAGATACGTATTTTTTTTACTTAAATTTAACAAGAAATAGCTTAGATAACAGGTATTAAAGTTGAGGAGTGGGGGCTCGCTACGTCACAGTTGAGTAGAAAACGTACTCTAACGTGACGTCATGCGAAATTTCAACTCAATGTAACGCCGTAATTTTATGATTACGAAAAAAAAACCTGTTTAATATTTTTTAACACTCTACCTGACGGACAAACAAACAAAAATTAGTCATCATCCCTATTGACAAGTTTGCTATTTTTTTTTTAATAATAAGCATTATCAAAGAATTCTGTCACAAAATTTCTTAAATATTTGTAAAGAAAAATAATTATAAATTTAAATAGCAGTTAAAGAAATACCTGAATTAAATCTTTATTTCACTTATTAGAGTGTTATGTATATATTATTATAATACAACATTTAATGCCTTTATTTCAGGTTTTTCTTTAACTGGTATTAAATTTTATAATTATCTATCTTATACGACGTTATCTTTCTTAATTACAAGTAAATGTCAAACATGACATCCATAGATTTTAGAAATACATTGCTGTCTGCGAGTTACGCGGCAAAAATAAGAACCGTTAAGAAAAGCAATGACACTATGGTTTTCTTTACATTAATAAAAAAGTTATGGGACTTTGAAGTTGGGCTCGCAGCGTTACCTCAGCGTGTGACGTCACGCTACCGAACATGACCGCGAGGAAGCAGCTCAGTAGTACTATCAGTACAGACGCTTTTTGTTTATTACTCGATGGAGGGCACTAAAATCTTCTATTATTAATGTATTGTCCCTATGTATTAAAGTGTAACAATAAAAACCCTAACAAAATAATTTTAATTAAGGAAACGAAAAATTCGTAGTATTTGATAGAATGCATCTACATAAAAGTCTCAATATGGTAGCTCCTAAAGCTGACCACAAAAAAAACCAAAAGAGGTACCTACTAACTATTATCTATGCTAATAGTTTCGAAATAAAGTGAATGTGACGTTCTGGCGGACGTACATACAGACATACAGATTTGACGTTGACGAATCTATAAAAGTTCCAAGGTTTATCGACTAGTTCAAGTTCATTTACATTGGTTGATAGCGCCCTTATGCGAACTGCGGAAGATTACTGCACTTATTTTCATTAGACGATCATTGACTCTTACTGGTTTACTTTACCAAATTGTACAAGCTAATTTCCATTGGTTAATAGAAGACGCATGCGGAGCGCGGTGATTTCTGGGCTTATTTTCATTAAACGATCATGATCATGGACCGTCATTGGTTTATCCACTACTGCAAGTACAGTTACATTGGTCGATAGGGATCGCATGCGGTGTGCGTCGATTTTTGTGCTTATTTTTATTAGACGGTCATTTACTGTTATTGGTTTCCTGACTAGTTCAAACTAATATACATTGATTGATTCGGCCCGCATACGAATTATGGCGTCTTCAGTCCTTATTACTATTAGTGTTCGGCTAAAACTAAAAGAGTTTATTACTCAATGCATGCGGGCCCTATCGACTAATGTAAATATGACATTATAAAAGTCAACAGTTAATACGAAAACCGCTAACGGGCGAACCCCTTACCTATTGCATCATCATCATCATCCTCCCTTCTCCCCCAACTTTTAATATAGAAGATTGAAATACCTACTTAAAAATAACGCTATAGACCCTAATGAATATTTTATACGAAAACTTGTTAAAAGGGAAGTACATTTACAAAAACTGCAAATATTACTTAGGCATTTATACAACCACTATGAAAACACAACAAGTATTGGATATGTTCTAAGGTACTAACTAAACTGTAATATTTCTAAGGAACCCTTCGTATGCGAGTCCGACTCGCACTTACCTATTGTATTTATACTTGTTGATATCTAAACAATTTTAATGCATATTAAAAGTAATATCTTTACCTTTTGTAGGTTATAAAAGATGTACACTTTGTCTTTTTCTTCTTATTATTATAGAAATATAAAAATAAACTACCTACATACAAATAAAAAAAACAATGTCCATTAATAACTAAAAAATAAAGCCAGAATACCCAATAAGTAGAAAAAAATAGGTGTTTTGCAAAAATTTCCACTTATTTTTTTAGGATGACGATCTAGAGTTCGGTGCTGTGACATCACAGACGAGTCGGGGGCCAAGACGTTCCGTGCGAAAACACGCAGTTTTAAATAATCCATTACTTGGTCATTTATTAACGGATTTTAATTTTGTTTTCTGATTTATTTTTGTATTGCTCTATATTTTTATTATATTGTGTTAAATATCGATATCACGAAACTTTCTTATTGTTTGCCGAATTTATTTTTTCATTGCTTAGATTACTGATGTGCAATGAGATTGGATGAGTTTAATACTATAAGATAATTTTGTCCATAAAAAGAATGAACATTAGATGAACGTTCCGAGAAACAGGTTATAGAAAAAAATCCACGTATTCAAAGATACTTAGAAAAAAGTAGCAAGTCTCGTGCATGTGTGATCATATAAATATTTAGCTCAATTTAGATAATTAACCCACAAAAGCGTCTAAGTGCGGTAAATTGAAGCCCTCATATCTCACCTAACCTTGGATAGATTTATTGACGAAAAACCGAATTCCACAAGGGCGAAGACGCAAACGGAAAGCTATATTAAATTCGTCTCTCCGTTGAAAATAGATCTAGAGGTATAGAAAACATAAAATCAATACAACATATTGCATCTTTGTACAACAAAAGGTCACCGGGCACAAAGCTCACATGTACAGGGAATGACACAGCTGTGGTGAAGGCGTGAACAAAAGCTTGTTTCATATAAATACGTTTTTTTAATTAAATTTTGAGCGACAACTAGATTTTGCTCCGTGTGTACTATCCTTTTACTTTACCCGTGTCATTTACGCTAAGTTCGCAGACAAAATAACAATCTGTTAAGTGACAGAGCAGAAATAATGACAAGAAAATGTCTTAGATGTCAATTAATTAACTGTAATAAGATAAAATGAAATCACCATTGAGTCAACGACCTTTTTAATGTGCCCTTTGTAAATGAAATATCACCGAGTTTTTGTTAACCCTTTAACAGGGACAGCCGTGTCCCGATAAAAAAAATATGTCAATAACTAGGAAATTGGTAGGTGTAATTTAAGCTTTGTCTATTTTTTGAATGAACTAGTTTATTATGTTAACAACACAGCATTCAAAAAATTCTGTCTTTGTTTATGGTAATTTGCAGGTTGTCAAGTAGTGGATTTGATAGATTTTGAAAAAGGTTTTTGAGGTGTAAAAGTTGTGCTCAGCATATTATATTGTGGAATATTTACTGCCTGTCAAGTACTCTTTTATTTTGTACACTAATAAAACCGAAATTTATATTGTGCGCTTTGATATGTGTTTATAAATATAAGTGAGCACGATATCTCTGTAGACTTTCAGGATATTTATTTGTTTCAATAATGCGATTGTGATTTTTTACTATTACCCTCATTTCTTTTTACATATGATGATTGCAGATTGTTTCGTAGAACGTTTGTGGATTCCGGGAAAATGAAATCCAACAGACTTTGATGAATAGATTGTTGGTATGGAATTATTATGATGAAGTTGTCAACGAATCACTTAGCGCCCGTTAGCCAGTCTTCAAGTGGACCCAGAAAACATACGCTCCGAATATATTTGAAAATTTTAGATATGAATTTAAATATGTGCAAATCTGTCAAGATATGAAAAGCTCTTTCTAAATATATTGCTATCAACAACAAAATTTGACATTTTATACAATTGATAGTAATCAGTGCAATATTGTCATATGGTCACATACACGAACGGAATTCTATGTCGAAACTGATGAAAAGAAAGTATTTCTTGATTTAGAATTATTGTAATAATATCGTTAATACGTCATCATG